TGCTGTTGTTTTTAAAACATACGTTTTATTTGAAATTGTCAGTAAATGTAGACTGCATATAGGGTAGAGAACTACTTCGGCCTAATCGCCCATTTTGGGCCTATCGAGCAGAAAACTTCAAATAAATCCATGATTTCAGAGTTAACAAGTCAATTATGCGTTTGGTACGATACTTTAGTTAATAAGCTACCGAACGAAGTCAATGAGAACGCGTGATATGAATGTTTGCACCCATTATTCTCAAAAACAAAAGAAGTGCTCCGACTGAATCATGTTTTATTTTCATCCGATAGGCCGAAAAGAATTCATTGGCGTTTCAATGGCGTTTCAATGCGTTAGGCCGAGTTTAGAATCTGTAGGCCGAGTTTGGCGTCAAGAAGCAGTGTTAGACTTTTGACAATATCTCAACGATTGGTTCATCTTTATCAAATTTTACGGTACGTACGGAAAGGTATATAAAGCCATCAGTAATAATAACATTCCGTTTGGTGCTAAACTGCGCTAGATTAAGAAAGACTAAGTGCGGGTTTCGCTTAATAGGCCGGAAATGGGGTAGTTAACCCTACAAATATCTAAAAAATAAAAATTGTTTTAAACTTAACGAGATGAAATCCTAGCAGTTAGTGTTTTCCTTACTGTATCTTTAGACATCGTTAGATCTATATGCTCACAATAATTGACATTGTATATTGCACCAAAAGAGTAGGGAAGAGAATGGTAGTACTCGGTTTACAACTGCTCTTATGAGATTAAGCAAATGTTTTTGAATAACCCATCCGACCAACTTGAGAGATGGGAAACTCCGAAGTTATTTTAGTCTTTATGTTTACTTTCATTGATATAAGTGAGCGCCGGAAAGCATTCAGTAAGCCCTCCATATCTAACTACGCCTATTAAATGGAGCACATGTTTTTGAATACATCTGAATATACCAACTTGACAAGATCAGAAACACTGAAGTTATTGCAGTTTGAAGCCTTACCTCCATTTAAATGAGTGAGGGGGCGGAGGTATAGTTAGCCCCTCCCCCTTCATCCTTTAATATGCCTATGAAATTGAAAAATTGTTTGAATAATTCATCATACATACCAAATCGATAAGATAAGAAACTCCGAAGTTATTTCAGTTTGAAACTTTACTTTTATTGATATGAGTGACCCCCCCCATCTCTCTTCTCACTACGCATATGAGATAGATATATTGTTTTTGAATATTTCATCTAAATATACCAAAAAGATAAAATAATTAACTTCGAATTTGGAGTCTGACTTTCTTTGGTACACCGGCAGTGTTGGCAGAAAAAGGGATTTTTGGCATTTAATTCGAAACATTGATCTTTGAACAGCTATAACTTTTTTAGGGGCTATACTTTAACGTATTTAGATGCGTAGTTTGTGCAAAATTGTGGTCCCTAGTAATAAAGATACAACAAAGTAGGTTTTTCCATACTAATTTCCATACAAATTTCAAATGCAATGCGGAAAGCCGGGTTACAACCAATCGTCCCCAAATTTTGCGCAGTTGTTTGGAACCCCAAATGGAATCAAAAAAACATTGTTCTGAAAAAATGATCATGATGACCCATCCTACTGGGTACTCAATATGACCAGCAGTTTTCATGTTTTCAAACTTCATTTGATTTTAACATCAACGTCATAACATTCAGAAGATCTACCTTTGACAGTGTTTGACATATCGAGTTATATAATCAAAGTAACACTATATAGATCATCGACCAAAGGAGGCATCGACTTGTACAAATATCGACTTATGGAGAGTACGATACATGGGAAAATGAAGGGACCGCAGAATCCATCGAGTTATAGAAAATATTGAGTTGTGGAGACCAGGGATCGGGTGCTACTCAATTTTTTTTTGCGAGTAAAACACACACTGTTGCCAGACTGCTCTTTCCAAAGAGACGTGAAAGAGCATTTTAAATCGTGCAGCACATTTCATTCTTCTTGTGTTGGAGATCTGCCGCTCCAACGGTGTTAAGTCTCTTTCTCTCTCTTTCTTTGTTTCTCAGACAGTGTACTTTTTCTATAACTGTAGCGTTGTAGCATCGTCACTGTCTATTGAGTCACTCACTTTCATTTGATATTCGACAGTGTTTGTAAGAAACCCAGCAAAATGGTTCCGAAAAGACATGTCGACCCGATGTCGGATCAATGAAAGGCAAATTTAAGGTAGATGTCGACCCAATGTTGGGTTGATGTCGAGTCAATTTTGAGTGTATGTCAGGTCATCATCGGGTTGCCCTGCGCTTCGGTCAGAGAGCGTATAGGGCGTCGTTGTGCCAATTTGGTCGTGGCACATTTCGAGTATGAGAGAGTAATTGCAGTTAGATCAAAAGTGCCTGAGAAAAATGCAAATACTTTCGCAGATTACCCGAAGTTGCGATAGTGAAGGTATGATCACAGACAAGCAGACATAACACTCTTAAAACCTTCATAGAAATCGTTTTAACGGTCAATTTAAATGTTTCTTAGTTGGTAGTACCGCCACTTGTGGTGCACATAATCAATTCCCTAGCGTTTGACGTTTACATACTATAACCATCTGTTGAGTGTATTGCCCATGAAAGTATATACAACAGATGGTGGTAGGGTTTACAATGATAAGTGTTTAATGTGTTGTGTCTGCTTGTTTGTGAAATAACATGGAGGTAACGTTAGGATAAAATCAAAACATTGAGAAATATAACGCATCACTTTCAGAAATATTTCACTTCGCAACCGATGAACCATTCTGACGGCCATATGAGTACCCAAGTAACCATATAGTCGCTATATAGCTTGTATATTCTTACTTTGCTTGACTATGGTTAGTTGGGGAATGTGATGAAACTGTCACTTCTTGAAACTGATCCCTTTTGAATTTCTTTCATTTTCTTTTCGCACACGGAGCGCTCGGTGGAACAGCGACTTTGGATGTGAGCCTCGTCCCAGATCACCATGGCAATTCATTTCAAGTCAATGAAACCGAACAAAAAGGCGGAATCATATTAGAACCAACCAAGGACGATCTACGGAAGGAAATTGCTGGTGAAGCACGGAATGAAATACGAAGCGTTAGAGAAAAAGTCCAACAGATTCCAAATGAAGTAATCAACCACGGCGGAAAAGCAGAATATGGTAAGAGCTTTCCAAATATTAAAAAAAAAATGTATATCAAAATTAAACTAAATACATGCCAGGTTTGAAAAAAAATGTTTTCGAACCTGGAAGCGTGTATGTAATACCAATATCCATTTGATAACGGTGATGCATACATGCGGGGCTTATTGTAAGTGAAAGTAACCTCGGAATGGGCGTGACTCTCCAGACATTCTGAAATGGGTTGCTGGATCTGCAATAGAGCTATCACCTTCTAACTCCCGGACTAAAGCTGTCTACAATGACCATAAATGCGACATTGTAGAGAGAGTTCTTCCATAATAACACTGCCGGCCAGTGGGGGTTGGATTGAATACACACACACATGTCGGGTCATCATCGGGTTGGAGTCAGGTTGGCTTAGATTTCGACCAGAGCTAAACCCCTTGTGAAGAAAATTGCACATCGATCTTAAAAAATCTCTTTAGGAAAAGCATCAAAATTTGCATTTTCCTACGCTTTTGAATACCAGTATGGTTATGCAGTCTTAGTTGGAAAATTTTATTTTCTTTGTTGATTTGAGAAATGAATTTATCAACATTTTCAACTTCTGGTTGGATGGAGCAACAAATTCATCTCGAAGTTCTACATAAGCAGTGCCCAACAAACAATTTGAGTTGATCAACAGCTGAATAAGCCATTTTTTAGCTGAAGAAGCTTATTTTTGCCTGAATAAGCTCTTATTAAACATTCAATGTTTGTTGGGTGTATCGGACACAACCCCTAACTGGTTTTACTCCAAACTTATTAAAAATTCTGAAACTAAACTGTCAACCATCATCATAATTCTGTAAAAGTTTAATTCATCATTTCATCACTAATCGTGTCTATTCCAACGAAATAGCTACATTTGTGGAGGATCATGGTAGTTTACATCTTATAAGAAGCATGCTTGAATCGATGTTGCAAGGACTAGGACCATGAGTTTTCGGGATGACAATTGTGGGATTTTAATTTATTTGACATGGATTTGAATGCTTTGTCAGCGAACATTGTATTTACCCAAATTATTCACCAGGACTATCACAACAAAACAATCACAAAGGCACCATGCAGCCTCTCGTTTCCAAATGTCATTCCAACAATATTCCGCCAGTCTCATTTTCACCAATAAACATGCCGGTTATTAACGAAAAGTCTACCAACCTGTTGGAAGTATTGCTCCTGCTGCTGCTGTGCATGGTACTGTTGGTACATTACCAAATTACTCTGCTGCTGCTGTTGTTGTTGTTGTTGTTGTTGTTGTTGTTGTTGTTGTTGCTGCAGAGCAGCATAGAACTGTTGTGGTTGCTGTTGAGGAGCAGTGGAATGCATAAAATTGTTGTTGTTCATCTGGGTGGGGTTCATACTGTTGGCTTGACTCTTTTGGATCGCTTTATAGGTCGGTTCAATGGAATGAGTTTGCTGAGTGAGTGCGTTGATGATTTCGCATGGGATGGGAAAGGAAGGGTTAGTCGGGATCGGGTTGTTGTTGGCGGATAGGATGTCTTGCGGATTTTTGTAGCGTTCCAATGTTTCAATACCGGAGTGTGGTGGCTCCGAGACGGTATCGATCCCAGCCGAAGGTACCAGGGTACTGGTGGAAGGTGACGTTACGAGAGAATTTTGATTGTCAACTTCCAGAGAGGACGGTGCGCTCGAGTTGGGATCGTTCGATTGCGCTGTATTGGTTTGATTATTCGCTTCATCAACGACAGGGTCAAGTTTGAGCATTTCGGTAGCGGGCAGGGAAATGGTCTTCAGTGACATATTGGCTGTGTCAACAGCTTCTTTCGGAATCGCGACGTTATCAGTATTATTTTGTGCGTTAGAATCTATATCTACGGCTAGAGTGTTAAATACCGAGGCAGGTGTTGTGTAGGACGATGGATTCACTCCACGCTGTTCGTTCTCGCGCATTAGTGCTGCCAGTACGGCTGGATCACGTGCAATGATGTAGGTTTGAGGGGCACCGAGACCTTGCTGGGAACCGTCGCCTGCTAGAGATAATAGAGATGATGAACTGTCTGCAAGAATGGATCAATGGCGGCCAAATTTTGAAATGTACTAGCATTAGCACAAGGGACCGAACAGTTTCTGCAGTTATTTGATATCGTATTAATCATTGTACTTACCGCCCATCATGGGACCACGAGCGGGTTTCGGTGGTGCTACGTCGTCACCGGCTCCCCAGGACATAGCAGCGACACGCCGATTTTCCCGGCGCATCGTTTCGCAATCGCTGTGCCGTTCTTCTGTGAGTATCTCACTATTTGTGAACACAAAAGAAGTATTTATTATTCCGGTCAATTTTGAAGAAATGATGAATCCCAATACTCACTATAGCACTTCCTTGATGTTTTTGAAGTTCGGTCGCTTATGTGGCTCGTAGGACCAACATTGTGACATCAACGAGTACAATCGCGGAGGACAATTCGGTGGCAACGGCAGACGTTCGCCATTCTCCAGCTTTCCAATCACATCACAATTTTTGATTCCTTGGAATGGTTTTACCCCCAGCATTAGGATCTCCCAAGTGCAGACACCTAGCATTTTGCAAATGATAGGTATAATTCATATTTATTTAATCAGTGAAGGTAAAATCGCACGTACCGAACATCCAGACATCGCTGGCGGTCGTGAACCGTCGGAAGTTGATTGATTCCGGTGCCATCCACTTGATCGGAAGCATTCCTTTGGTAGACGTGTAGTACGACTGATCTTCAACCCATCTTGAGAGTCCAAAATCGGCAAGCTGTGGAAGGAGATCATAGCAAACCATGTAGCTCTGTAAGTCATTTCGTTGGAATCTTTCGGCCGAAACGTCTCAAAATTTCAAGTGTACCTAACCTAGTTTTAAACAATATTTTTTGACTATCACTCACCTTGATACATGTCGGAGAGCTGACTAGCACATTCCGTGCGGCAATATCCCGGTGGACAAACTTTTTCGACTCCAGATAACTGAGTGCAGTCGACAGTTGGTAGGAGTAAAGCAGCAGGGTTCCCAGTTTCATTCTGAAATTTAACATCGCAAAATGGTTCGTTACTATCCGGAAGACGATTGCTTCTTCTACGTGGAAAAGCTCGTTCCCGGGGCGGAACCGCCGATCGAAATCAAAACTCGCCGCCCAGCTCCACCGAGGCAAGAAGTTAGCGCGTGGGGCTATAGCGAACTGTTCGAAAATCAAACGGGAATTCGAGGAAGCCATTTTCTACCCTGTCGAACGCGCGCCACCAAGTTACCGACAGCTGGTCAGAGACGGCTTTTTGAAATCCATCGCACTGGCCCCGTTGGGATGCAGAATGCGCCAATACCTAGGTCGAAGATTCTAGAGGAGTACGCTGGCTTGGGTTTGGGCCAGATACCAGAACAACAACAACAACCGAAGAAGAAAGCCGGCGGGCAGAAGAAAGGAAAGAAGAAGTGAACATAACTTACTTGGGGCCATTCTTCTTGAGATAGGCTCGCAGTTCGCCTAATCGCGCAAGCTCCATTACGATCCAAATAGGAGATCCGCTGCAGATGCCGATCAATTTGATGATGTGTGGATGCTCGAATTTTTGCATGATATCTGTATAATAATCAAAAATAATAAATGATTTATCGCTCGATCAAAAAAATAGCAATGACTATCTTACATGCTTCCTCCAGGAACTTCTCCGACGTGGCCAAATCTGCGTCTGCCTTGCAGGTTTTAACCGCCACTTGAATGACTCCACTCTTTTGCTGTCCCTCGCCATTGTTGTTTTCACCAGACAGCGACAGATCATCGAATTCTGAGGTTAGCGATTGATTCAACTTGTTGGCCAGCGAAGATTTGCCCGACAGTCTACACGATCCAATGTGCACGTCACCAAACTGTCCAACGCCAATGATCTCATTCAGTGTGATTTGATTCCGATCCAGCTCATAATTCCGAGCAGCAGGAGTAGAATAGTCTCCTTCCTCGTCGCACATGCCCAGCTCGGCGTAGTCTTCATTCAGGGTTGGCTTATTATTAGAACTAGCACTTGCCTCCAGTTCGTTGTGAACGGAGTTGTTTAGCTTGTCGCTACTTGATCGATTCGAGCCATGTTTCTCGGACGACTGGGAGTCGGTCATCTTCCTTAGGTGATTCTTTTCCAGCGAATTGGTGGCACTACTATTCGGGGTGGTTTTTGGTATAACGGTACGATCCCATAAGCTAATATCAGTATTGTTAAATAACCTACAGTAACCATCGACTAGATCGGCTATACTCTCGGAAGTCTTAATACCATCACATGTGATCGCCAGGTCTTCGCTATTACCGCTGACTTTGATCCTGAGCTGGGTCTTGATTTCACTGCACGAGCAAGTGACCCCTTTCTTGTCCTTTTTGTCGGTGCTTCCACTGCTGCCACCGCAGGAACTGGTGAGATCTGGTTGGTCTTTGGAATTTTTCATACCCTGGTGCTTGGGTAGATGATGGTCGCTTTTGGTCAGTGAAGACGATACCACACTGGTCGTTATTCGTTCAATACTTTCAAAGTCAGTTACCTTGGTTGGTGGTGCCTGAGGATTTACGGAGTAGGATATACCCACGTGGGGACCGATGATCAGATCAACCCGAATGTTCCACCCACTGCTCAGCTGCACGTTGAACTGTTCCTGATCGAACGTGTACTGTGTTCTGAGCAGATCGAAGAACTTGAGCATGTACTCCATCTCGGTGTAACTGTAGACCTTCTTGTAGCCGGCCTGGATCAGTTTCTTCAGATTTTTCTGCTTAATGGTATCTATCACAGATTTCGGTATAAAATTGCTGAAGCCCATCTCCTTCTCGATGTACTCCAGGTGGTGCTTTCGGTCATTCGACGAGTGGTTCGTGTCTTTGTAATAATGCCGAATTCCTAAACAGCACAACTGTATTGCAATATCCTGATCAATGTTCGGTATGTTCGACTGGATGTAGTCCTGCTTGACCTGGTCAAAGTAGAAGTGACACGTGGTTCTGTCTTTTTCGAACAGTTCCTTCAAACTTTTTGGTATGTAGCGTACGCGTAGTTCAGCCTTCCACACACTATTCGCATGCCCGACAACGCCACTGGTTTTCTGTTGCATCCTCTTGGCAATCGTACTTTTGTCCACATTGGGGCAGTCCGCGTTGCTACAGGACGGGTTGAAGATGTGGGCCATCACCTGCGACATGGAGGTGTCCGGTGGCATCCAGAGCACTTCTTTGGTGAGCATGTGCCTTAACCGAAGCGCGTAGCTCTGCGGGTTCGTTTTGTGACCGGGTGACATTGAGTTCACGATCAGATTAATTATCTGCCGGACATCGGATGCCTCGTCGAACCGAATCATGCGGAAGCCATGGTTCGGCAGGTACACATGCAGTGTCTGCGTGTCACCGGTTTGCGCTGTGGGTAAGTAAATTGAACAATGAGTAGTGGACAACGGTTTGCATCGAGACGGTGCGCTTGTAATGTGAGAATGAAAAATGATGCTGGTAAATAAAATGCCGGCTACCCTTTCGGAAGCGCGGTGGGAAAATTGTGCATGAGTAATTTAATTGCCACCAGGAGGGCTAGCGCAGCGCGAAGGGAGTGCAGTGATGGATGACTTGTGAACGCGACGTTGTTATACAAAATCGTATTTGTACTTGCATTACTTTTCATATTTGAAATTGATTTTTTTTGAGAGTGTCGTAGCTTTAACGTTACACACTAATCGAGTCAGTACGGTTTTACCGAGTTTTTGAATTGCGGAACTGTTCGGTAAAAGTTTAAAAATCTGTGGAAAATTTATTAATAAGAAAATTTGTTCTGAACTTGTACATACTTAGTTCTGTTAACTCCATTTAATGATAGAAAATAAAATTGGTCAATTTCATTGATTCTTTACGGATAACGGTCATTTGAATTTTTACCGGGTTTGGGTTTTCAGCAATTCAAAAACCCAGTAAAAAAATACTGACTCCAGTAAAAAAATCTTACTGTGTAGGTTTAGTACGTATACGATTTTGCTATCAAAATAGGAGAAACAGGTAAATAGTTTACGCTAACCTCTAGTAATGGGCTATCAGTGAACAGAATTTGAGAGGTTTTAGATCCCCTCTCTCCCCCTACTTGAACAATGATCCATATAAATTATAAAAACATATGAACGGTGAATTTCCAATATCGACAGCCCTTCAGCGTATACAATATAAAATAATTTTAGTTTAATTCCGATGCTAAAAGATATTTTTAGAATCTTACAAATTTCGTGGAATTTGCAGAAAACTTTATATTGAGGCGAATTGATACTCGATACCGGTATTCCGCGAAATCTATCGATATTTTTCGCCACATTCCTCATAACGAAGATGCAAATGACGCATTTCGCACCAAATCGAATCGAAGCTGGCAACACCCTCTCAGATTGGAATAAAAAATTTCTGGATGTGTAGACTTTGACTAAATAAGCACTTTTGCATACTAAGATTTTCCAAAATTTATCTAGACTAACATTTGAGAAGGGCCAAACTTTTTCTGCCGAAAAATGTCTCCTACAAAAATGAGTTGTATGGATGACTTTAAGGAAATTTTCCAAGTTTTCGAAAAACAAAAACTGAAAAAAAATCCATTTGAGACTTACACTGAAAAAAATCGATTTTTTAAAATTTAAAGTCGATTAAAAAATGGCCATGTTTGATTTACTATGTTAACTATCAACCGTCCATACATTGCGAGATGGTTACTTTTAAGTAAAAAAAGCTTTTCTTACAAAAACTGTTTAATGTCTGAACTATTATTTTTGGATTAATCGAGAATTCCATATGAACAGGGCTTATATCATTAGAAAATAATATAATTTATTATATTACTGAGGTAAAATCCGATACTTCTATAGCAACTTAGCATTCTTAGCTAAAATTATCCATAAAGAATTAGGTATGAATAAAATTAAATTGAGATCTTCTTTCGAATCAACAAAGATTTGGGAAGTCAACGTATCGCATCAAAATTCTATATGCCCTTCTGTAATTTATACCTAAACCATTAACATTATATACCTACCACTTCATTCAACCTATGAGCACTATAAAACTAAGGTTGATTTCATACAAGCAACAGTCAATCTGATAACGAAAGTTGTGAAGACAAGTTTTAGTAAAATTATTATCATGGACCAAAGTAGTAAACGAAGGCTCAAAGGATTGAAATGTTGTGCAAACATAAATAATCCGAGATGCAACCGAAATAAGTTACGGGCCATATCATCAACGATGGTAGAAAAAATACATTCTATGGGATATAACCACAAAATTGATGAGACGATGAGCATTAGTGAGTCATTCCGTAGCGTGGTATCTCATAATAGAAGCCCAGTTATAAAAAAGTAAGAGGTTGTATCCAAGACACGACCGTAGACTTGACGTAGGATTACGGAAGGTAGTTTTGATGTCACAGCAAAAGTATAGTAAATATTAAATTGATTTCTTAACTCGTTATTTGTGAAAAATTTCGATAGGTTGAAATTCGGAAGCAATTTGATAGTTCTGTTTTTAAGGTGCTCTGTCGATGTCCATGTAGTACAAGCCAGTCCTGGACGATATGTCTTGGATTCAAGCTCTTACTCTTTTATTAGTCATTTGTGGTCCTGAAAAGGACCGATGGGTTGGAAACTTGGAAGCTAGTTTAGAACAATACTGTGGAAATTTTTCCTCGATGTTTTTGGAAATGATAGCAGTGCGGAAATGAAATATGTACCGTCCCAATGACGCGTTCATCTAGGTAAAATTGAAAATAGCAGATTTTTACCGATGGGCCCAATCTTAGATCCATAGGCCAACATTAGAGCCATTTCCCCTATCAGGGAAAACTCATCAATCACAGAATATGAGCCTACCGGACGGTACCTACGTTTATACTGTTTGATGCATATTTTAAGCCCCTTCTATTAAGAGAATTCGGCAAGGTTTTTTTTTGGCATAATGCTCCTAATAGGAGGAGCTTTAAATTTGAACCAAAAGGCATACGTCAGATTGTTGAGGAAAAACGTCCAAATTTAGTTTTCTTATCTGAAACTCATATTGTAGAAACTGAAGCTTTTGATCAGTATAGTATTCCGGGATATATTGTTGCTGCTTGTTTATCACATTCTAGACACACTGGCGGTGTTGCTATTTATGTCAAAGAATCAGTTCAATTCAACCTTCGTACCAACGAAGTTATTGATGGCAACTGGTTCTTGGGCATTACAGTTGTACGTGGCATGAAGATGGGTAATTATGGTGTTTTGTATCATTCTCCCAGTTCTAGTGACCAGCGTTTTGTTGAAGTTTTAGAGAACTGGTTTGGGACATTCCTTGATTCTAGTAAATTAATTATATTGGCTGGTGATTTTAATATTAATTGGCGTGATAACCATAATTCGAATCATTTGAAGCGTTTAGCTGAGTTTTTTAATTTAAAGCAAACGGTAAATGAGTATACGCGTATTTCCAGGCACAGTAGAACTTTAATTGACCACGTTTATTCCAATTTGTTCAGTTACGGATACTGATTTGAAAATAACCGATCATGAGACTTTAGTGATTAATGTCTTAGACCATGTTAACGATAACGATAATTTTGTAAAATTGAAGTGCTGGAGGAAATATTCGAAGCAAGCTGTTTCGAATCTTGTTGAGAGAAGCCTGGATTTTCCATTCGCGGCCGGTAACTTAGATGAATCTACAGCTGTTCTTAATAACGCTTTGAAAACGTGTACCAATCAACTAGTTGAGCAAAAGTTTGTTTCTTTGAAAAACTCGAACAGCTGGTACAATTTGGATCTTTTGCGTCTTAAACGGAAAAGGGACAAATTGTGCAAAAACTTTTGTAGATCTAATAATGACAATCATTGGACTAGGTACACAATCGCGCGTAATAAGTATTCACAATCGATAAAGAAAACTCGTTGTGAATATGTTCAAAGGAAGATTGATCAGCATCAAAACAACAGCAAAGAGTTATGGAAAATTTTGAAATCTTTATTAAAACCTAGTAATTGCAAACCGCGGTCCATAACTTTTAATGGCACATTAGAACAGTCAGAACAAGTAATTGTAGCTAAGTTTAATGATTATTTCGTAGATAGCGTTTCATTGATTAATCAATCTATTGAATTGGTCGATGAACCTGACGAAATAAAACAGCCAGTTAATAGTAGTTGTAGATTTGAAGTTTTTCACCCAATCACATTAGATGAACTTAGAGTTATTTGTTTTTCATTAGGAAAATCGGCTGGAGTAGATAATGTTAATGCTAGAGTTATTCAAGAATGCTTTCATGTCATTGGCCACATCTTGCTGGACCTTATTAATGAATCATTACAAACTGGACATGTGCCACAAATTTGGAAGGAATCCTTAGTGGTCCCTATTAAAAAAGTTGCTGGAACGATTAAAGCCGAAGAGTTTCGTCCCATCAACATGTTGCACACATTAGAGAAAATTTTAGAACTTGTTGTTAAAGGCCAGCTGTTGGAGTATTTAAATAGTAATAGTTTGTTGATACCAGAACAATCGGGATATCGGGAAGGTCATTCTTGTGAAACCGCGTTGAATTTGGTATTAGCGAAGTGGAAAAATAACTTGGAGTGTAAAGATACGATTGTTGCTGTTTTTTTTGGATCTTAAACGCGCTTTTGAAACAATTTCTAGGCCCTTATTGTTGAGATCAATCAAGCGCTTTGGAATTACGAGTACTGCATATAAATGGTTTGAAAGCTATTTGTCTGACAGAACTCAACGGACTGTTTTTAATAATTCTGTTTCCAGTCCCATGGGGAATACCCTTGGAGTGCCCCAGGGAAGTGTATTAGGGCCCCTGTTATTTATTATGTATATTAATGACTTGCGACGTGTTTTACGATTTTGCGACATTAATCTTTTTGCAGATGATACTGTGTTATTCACTGCAGCTAAGGATTTAGATGATGCCGTTTTACACTTGAATGAAGATTTGCGTTCTCTAAGTAGATGGTTGAAGTACAAGCAGTTAAAATTGAATACAAGTAAAACTAAATTTATGGTAATTTCGCGGAATCGAGTAAATGAGAACGTCTCTGTTGTAATTGATGATGAGACTATTGATCGCGTTCGGGAGATTAAATATCTTGGCGTGATTATTGATGACACACTTAAGTTCAACTCTCACATTGACAATGTCATCAAGAAAATTGCCAAGAAGTATGGAATTCTATGTCGACTGAAAAACGATTTAACTATTGCCAGTAAAATACAGCTATACAAATCAATCATCTCTCCTCATCTTGACTTTTTCCCTTCCATTTTATTTCTGGCCAATGCAACACAAATATCGAGAATACAGCGCTTGCAGAATAAAATAATGCGTTTGATTTTGAGATGTAATAGATTCACTTCCTCAAC